ATGAAGCAGCCCTCCAAATTTTAGCCCAAGACTCTTCTTCATTCGTCAAATATCGTGATCTAAAGTTGGGTTAATTTGAGTCGTTAATCTTTCTCTCTCTCTCTCTCCTCCACACTGCCGCCAAGTTTATTTAGGGTTCCACATCCTCGTAAGCTCTAGTGAACGGTCGTGATTAGGTGTAAGTTTTCCTACTTTCCTTGCCTCATTAATCCTTTGACATGTGTGCATCGAATGAAGTTCCACCATGTGTATAAGCGTCAGCTTGCATTTAATGCAGTCCTTTGATTTTTTTCCTCTTGCCATACGTCCTTCACACTTAAAATAATAGCATTAGTCCCACGCATGATTTCATCGCAAGCGATGCCATGCGCCTCTCCACAGTGATTGCATCAGCCAATCATTGGCAGAAAAATGAGCAAACACGATTAAAACACATGTCGAGATATCATTAAATCTCAGTAAAAGCTATTAAAATCACAAGAGCCTATAAATAAATCTGAGAAAATATATTCTGACTTGTGAAATTAATTTCTTCATGAATCCAATATTAGAAAATTCTGCAGAAAAGACTAAAAGGTTTTAAAACATTATATAAATCATTTTAAAAGTGAAAATTATGTAGTTGACCAACTATCTAGATTATATATACACAATGCAAATCCTATTACTGAAAATTTTCTAGATGAACAGTTCCTTAGTATACAAGCTAGAAAATTACCTTGGTATGCACATATTGTGAATTATTTAGTCACTGATCAAATTCCAAATGGGTGGACAGCAAATGATAAAAATAAAATTTTCAAAGACATTTAATTTTATTTTTAGAAAGAACTTGAATTGTTTTATTTAGGACTTGAACAGCACAACATATTATATTTTTGTCATTCTTCTTCTTGTGGTGGACATTTTGCATCCAAGAAAACTACTGCAAATATTTACAATGTGGTTTTTTTGGGCCTACTATGTTTAAAATTCATATGATTTCTATAGATCTTATTTAAGGTATCAAGCTGCAATCAATATAACTAAAAATGACCCAATGCCATCACAATCAATTATTGAGGTTGAAATTTTTGATTTGTGGGAAATATATTTTATGGGACCATTTCTCTCATCGAATAGTCATAAATACATCTTAATGGTTGTTGATTATGTCTATAAGTAAATAGAGGCTATCTCTACTAGAAAAAATAATCATAAGGTAGTCTTGAAATTTATTGTGTAGCACATCTTTTCACATTTTGACTGTCCAAGAGCTATAATTAATTATGGTGGGTTACATTTCAATAACAATCATTTCAGGGCCTTAAGAAATATGTTGTGAAACACAAGATGACCACACCATACCACCCATAAGCCAATGGCCAAATTGAAGTCACAAATAGAGAAATCAATTTTGTTTTATAAAAAATAGTTATACTTGATGGTAAAAATTGGGTAAGTAGACTTACTTCTACATTAGGGGGATATTAAATAGTCTATAAAAACCCTATATGAATGTCTTTATATAGGCCTTATTTTTTGTAAAACTTGTTACTTACTTGTTGAAATTGAACATATAGCTTATTGGGTTGTCAAAAAGCTCAATTTATCATTAGACAATATAGGAAAGAACCAGATCTTACAAATTAAGGAGCTACAAGAATTACAAAATGAGGCTTACAAGAATTCTGTGATTTATAAAGGTAAACTTAAAACTTTTCATGATAGGCAATTGAACCATAAGGAATTATTTGAAAATAAAAAAGTTTTTCTCTATAACTCACGCCTAAAATTATTTTCAGGAAAACTTAAATCAAGGTGAGATAGACCTTTTATTTTTATTAAATTATTTGATTGCAGAGTAGTGTGAATCGCAAATCCTAAGATAGGTCAGCAACTTAAAGTGAATGGGCAAAGACTTAAATTGTACATGGACATGAGCAACAACCTCTAGACAACTCTCTTCAACTACAAGATCTGCCGCCATCTCAAACCTCCCATTGACAATATTCTAGTTACTAAATTTATAATTTTGAGTTTTCAATATAACCCACCTTTTTATTCAGCACCTTCTCCTCTTTTTATTTTTCTTTTGTAGTCATCTTTTAATGCAGTTGGAGTACACAAATGGGGTCCAACACACAATCATGGCAATAGGGTGATGTATACATTGCACAGTAGCAACAAATACATCATTGTCCTACATTACCTAGTTTGCACCTTCTTTCTCTAAACTCTTCTTTTTCTTTTTCATGCACTAGAGACAATGCATGAATTAAGTTGGGGGTGAGAAGATAAGTTTCCTCTAGTACACACTTACAATATTATGAATACAATTTTTTTGAATTTATCTTATAGCTGTCTTATAGAAAAACTCAATCAAAATAGTATAATTTAGATTTTCATATTGTTTAATATCCATCTTCACAAATTTTATTTCATTAAATAGTCTTAAAAAGAGAGACTTGAGTATTGTTTAGATATTCATGAACACAAGTTTGTAGTAAGTAGATTTAATTAATATTTTCAATTCAAAATACTTTTGTAATTGTCATAGAACTAGTTCAAGCTACTTGATTTTCTAGCTAAAAATATCCTATGATTTAGATCACGAATTGAAGTAAGATCACCCAACACTTTTATGCTCATATAGAAATTAACATAGTGTAAGCCTCTGAAGTATGAATATCCATATTCAAACTTTTAACAAATATTTGGAGAAAAGCTACCTATAAGCATAAGAAAAAAAAGGGTTGTCATGTAGAGTAAACCCGAAATACAAATAAAAGAGAAACTTTCCTCTTTATTCCGTGAAGCTTCCACCGGTGAAACTAGGACAAATATTAAGATTCTGGACAAATAAAAGAGAAAATTATTTTGAAAAAGCTACTTGCAGAACACAAGAGTCATGTACAATAAGTTGGACTAATCTGAGTTAAGCTCAAAATATAGAATCTATTGGTAATATTTGGCTAGTAATAAGAGTAGATGAATTAATGACTAGACAATTCATTCATTGAGATTGAAAAAAATGAGTAAACCTAAACTCTACTTGAATGTTGACTCATAAGTATCTCAACATGAGTAGGTGAGACTCTCCAATTAAGATTATTGAAATGAAAGGTAAGTTAGCTGATGTGTGGGGTGAATGTCAATATGAATTTCTGCTAAATTACTATGTATGAACTTGAAGTATTTTCTCATTGAGAGTTTAGCAATAACTAAAGTTGGGGGGTGTGATAACATACTGATTATCATGTGAAAAGAGTAAAAATTATTCTATTCAAGAGCTTAAATCTTATGATCTAGTATATTATTTATATTAAAAAATAAATATTTCTTATTTCTTAAAATTTTTCATGAAGTTTAATATTTTAGAGAATTTGTCTATTGAGTTTTTCTATCATAATTGATTTTTTACTAATATGAGAAAAAATTAAGAATTTTTGATATCTTTTTATGATTTTTAGGAAGTCGATATATGTTTCTACAATGAGATTTGATTTAGAGATGATATGACAAAACCAAGGGCCGAGGTACTAAGATTCAGCATCACCAAAGGAGGAGATCAGAAACCATCAAGAGTGTCTACATGATTGATAGCAAATGGAACATACTTATTAAGGGTGTAGCAGATCTCAACATTAAAGAAGATACTATGGCTTTGACAATACTTTTATCCAACATTTTAGATCAGCCCAAGGGCAAACCAACTCTCATCTCATCTCATCTTGGCCAAAAAGATGAAAAACCCGTCACTCATTCACAACCCTATATCAAATGATCTACGATAAATCAGCTCACGAGATGGCATAGATCACCTTACATGTGTAATCTTAGACCATTATGTAACCCTTATGCATTTAAGCCGCTATTCAGGGGCAAAAAACCTAACTTTGAATGCCCTGACATTTAGTTGGGCTCGAATAAAATAACATTGAGGTTTTGCATCGATTTAGATGTGTTTTGAGTTGATTCAAATGTTGATTCACAATTCAAATCATCCGATAAATATACTCAAGAGGAAATTGCCTAACCTTAGCAAAATATAGAGGCCTGAGATAAGTTTTTCTAAGTTTGATGTATTTTGTTCGTGAATAACTATCTAAGTGTTCATAGGTCTGAAATAAATAAATGATGTGCACTTGTTGTTGTATTTAAATACCTATTATCTAATAATATTTATAATTAAGACTTAATAAGATGTAAGTCTTAAGTCAAACATAAGGATATTAATTAATACATTGTGAAAAATTAATTTATTTTATCTAAAATAATTTTAATATTTTATCACTATTTAATGAAAAAAATAAAATACAAAGGTGAGGTGTGGAGATGTTGTGGGAGAAGGTAGACAAAGGTGAGAGGTTGATATCCTTCACCCACATGAAGAGGCCCCAGTGGCTCTAGATAGGGCTTTTCACTGAACACCTTCAAGATGTCTTGTCTAGGGCCCATGGAGATGAGGAGAAGGTGAGGAGGAAGGGCAGTGAGGAGGAGGGATGGCAAAAGAGAAGAATAGAAAAATGGGGCCCCAAGCCCAATAACATTCCTAATCATCTATTTATTTTAAAAATTATATTTTCTGATATTTATTTTACTATAAATTTATTTATTTCATAATTATCCAAATCAGCATCTTTTTTTTTTAAATTAGGTAATAAAAAAGAGGGTAAATGAAGCCATTTGACTAACATATGTGAGATTTATGGCCTTTCATTTCATTTATCCTATAATTTTCTGAATTAGGAATTATGGGTGCTGTCATCCGCATGGTTTTTACATTTTAGGATGTTCCCTTGATTAATGCGTACATGATAATCCTAAAAATCAGCGTATTATATATTTTTTTTCCTATTTTTTCGGAATAATTAAATAAATGAAGTACAAAGCTAAATAATGAGCTTTGAAGGGTATGGTTCGGAAACAGTAGCGTTTTAGGTCGATGATTTCAGGAGGGTTTTAGCTTCATCGGAGGGCGGGGAGCCGTCGAAGGCTCGTTGCTCGTACTTCCTGCCATGGCGATGCGAGCTTTCTCTCGGTGGAGAGTCCGGAGCCTCTCCCATTCGATCCTCCGGCTGATCTCCTCGCCCACCAGCGAGGCTTCCTCCCGCCTGCCCAGCGCCGCGGCCCCGCAGCTCCGCCTCCGCCCGTTCGGTCGGCCCTACCACGACGGCCGTCCGCGGGGGCCGCTATGGAGGGGGAAGAAGCTCATCGGAAAGGAGGCCCTCTTTGTGATCCTCGGCCTGAAGAGGTTCAAGGACGACGACGAGAAGCTACAGAAGTTCATCAGGTCGCACGTCCTGAGGCTGCTGAAGATGGACATGATCGCCGTGCTCAACGAGCTCGAGCGGCAGGAGGAGGTCGACCTGGCGCTCACGGTGCGCACGCGATTCTCCCATCCCTCTCGGATCGATCCGCCGGCCTGAATGCCTTAGACTCCCTCCGATCTGAATGATTCCTGACCGATTAATCTGGCGTTTCTGTTCCTGGACTCGCACGATCTGAATGAGTTTGTGTTCGTGATTTGGGGCAGACGAAGTCGATTTGGCGTTGACGGTTTCTCCTCCATCTTGCTCCGTGCTTCCAGATGTCAGAATTTCTTGCTTTCCTCTTATTGTTGCATCAAATCAGCAGTTCTTCCTCCAGTCGTTTCGTGATTCGGATTAATCCCACCGAACTCTCCTCTTCTAGATCAAATCAGGTCGCCTCTTTCTAGTTTTCGTCCTGAATCAGCAGTTCTTCTTCAGTTCTTCCGTGATCAGGTTTAACGCTGAATTCCTGCTGTAGCACTCCGTGGCGTCTTCTGTCTCTCCTTCTGGTTCTCTATTCGATGATCTTCCCTGCCATTGCCGAGCACGAAACCGGATTCTTCCCTAAATCTGTGGAAACAAAGAGAGAATCAATGAGGATCGGGGTTCTGTTCTTGCTGATAATGGGAGCGATCTCCCTTAAAATTCTGCAGATCTTTAAGGTGATTCAGGGGGAGAGCTGGTACAAGCCTGACGTGTACCTGTACAAGGACCTGATCGTCGCCCTCGCCAAGCGCAAGAAGATGGAGCAGGCGATGGAGGTGTGGGGCTCCTTGAAGGGGGAGGGCCTCTTCCCCGACTCGCAGACCTACGCGGAGGTCATCAGGGGGTTCCTCCGGCACGGCTCACCGGCGGACGCCATGAACATCTACGAGGACATGAAGAGCTCGCCAGAGCCGCCGGAGGAGCTGCCCTTCAGGATCCTGCTCAAGGGCCTGCTGCCCCACCCACTCCTGAGGAACAGGGTGAAGCAGGACTTCGAGGAGATGTTCCCCGACCGCCACGTCTACGACCCCCCCGAGGAGATCTTCGGCCTCCAGTGAAGAAAGTGCGTCTCTCTCTCTCTCTCTCTCTCTCTCTCGATCTCTCTAAACCCTTTATTTTAGGCTTACCGCATCAGGGAAAGGGGGAAAGATATGGCGGCCCAGTGGAGTGGGTTGACTTTTATTCCCCTCGTCTCTCTGAACCATTTATAGATGGGCTTCATCTTGAGAAATGAGCCGTGGGATATCAATGAGGTTTTGGGGACCAAATCAGGGGAAAGATATGAGCCCATTGACTTTATTTTGGGCCTTCAGTACCAGCGAAGGTGGCAAGATATGGGCGGCCAGGCCCGTTGGAGCGGGTTGACTTTTGGTCGATGAGCAGGAAGGTGTATGTTAAGAAGCCCCGTGACTTGTCTGCCCAGGTCTCCTTCTCTCTCTATGTCATTTATAGATGGGCCTTATCACTAGACATGGGCCTTGGGATGTTGATAAGTTCTTCGGACATATCAAGGGGAAAGATACGAGCCCATTGACTTTTTTTGGGCTTTCTGTATCAGGGTGGGGGAAAAAGATATGGCGGCCCATCTGGTGATGAGCCCGTTGACATTTTGGTTTGAAAGCATGTTGACTTTTTACTGTTGAAAACAAATATGGTGATGGTATAATTGAACCATATAGACGGATTGAAGAGTATGAATCTGCTCCAACTATTTTCAAATCGTCTTTAATAAGTCAACTCTTCGACTTCCCAACGTCTATCTCGGAAATCTCTCCCACAGGAACCTGGGGAGAAGCGGGCTGCTGCGCGGGGGGAGAGAGAGAGAGAGAGAGAGAGAGAGGTGGAGGAGCCTCCGGCGCCGCCTAGAAAGGGTCGCCGCAACGTCTTGATTCCCCGCCATCTTGCCAACCTTTCTCGAACACCAAGACGAGGCTGGTAGCGTCCTCCTGGCATTTCTTGGCGTCCGCATGAGAGAGGGAGAGGCTCCAATGGCGTGGGCCCCCCGCAGGCAGAGGGACCTTACTCTTCTCCGGCTCTCCCTGTTCCTTCTGCTCCCGTGACTCCCTGCGACTAGTGGCGCTGCCTGCGTGGTCCTCCGCTGCCGGCGGAGCCTTTCACGGCGCCACCGTCGCTGGCTCACGTGCCCTCCGTGAGCCGGCCGCGGCGGAGACGACGGCCATCGCCGCCGCCGGCGACTCTCAACAGCCTCTGCCGGCGCTTGGCGTGCTACGGATCGTAGCCCCTGAAAAAGAAGAAGACAAAGACCTCCCTCTCTCTCTCTCTCTCTCTCTCTCTCTCTCTCTCGCTCTCGTAGGAGTAAAGGATAAGATTAATCGATGGGGTACGGCAGAGAGTATCAATACTAGTGCCGTCGCAGGCACTGGGGGGTTCAGAGGATCGAGACGGTTGGTCGGAGTTCCTCACCGCCGGCGAGAACTGAGCCCGCCCCCGGCGACATCAGAAGGACCCATTTTCCCCTTCTCCTGTTCTCCTACTCCCCCTGCGAGAGTCGCCGGCGCCGGACGGGGTGACCCATTCCTGGCTATCGCCGGCGGCCGGCCGTGCGCGGTAGGATAAACGCACGTGGGGGATCGCACGAAAAATCATGCACCTCGGGTTCCCCCTTTCCCTTGGAAACGGGGAGGTGACCGCACTCCCCAGTGCGACGAGGAGTAGCCCTTCACCTCCACCAGCTGGCATCTTTGTACCCAGGGGAGGAGTCCAATTTTCATTTAATATTTATTATTCTCTTGATTTACACAGGTTTTTTCATATTACTTATTTATGCATGTTAAAAAAATATTATTTTCCCAGATAAGCCTCTTCGCTCTCTCTCTCTCTCTCTCTCTCTCTCTCTCTCTCTCTTCACTTGATATAAAATGTGTAATTATTTGAATAATTTTTTAATTAAATAGTTATAGGTAGATTTAATAAAATAATTAATGGGTCCATTACTTTACTGTTTGAAAATGATCGTACTTCTTCACGAGAGAGAGAGAGAGAGAGAGAGAACTTTTAAGGAAAAGCCCCTTCCACCAGTGCTGCCAGACTGGCAGAGAATGACAACTGCGCCAGACGTGGCTCGTCATTATTGGTCTGTCTTGTGGTCTGCCCTTGAAGACGTTACCGTCCCGTCCCGTACGAAGAGACGGATTGGAGCCGGAAGAGAGAGACAGTGGGGCCCACCAACCTAATTTTCCCCCTGCACCGTGGCCCACAGAGTCCACTAGGAGCGTACGGCCATGGCCACTCGCAGAGGGTCCACTTTTCTCCACGGGCGTTGTACGCCGCGGCGCAGAGGAATCGGTCACCAGAGACCGCCGGAGTCCAGCCGGCTGCCAGCTCACTGCGCCCTGCCTCCGCCGCAACGGCTACTTTTGGACCGGAGGGGAGGAGCACCGGCTGCCTGGCGTCTCAAGTTGCAGAAGAGAGAGAGAGGTGGGCTGGCTATAAATAGCCCGTGGGGGACTGAACTGGCGTCCTCACTCGACTGTCGGTCTTCTTCCCGGAGCCCTGGTTTGAAAGAAAGAGTTCGCCATGGGATTCTCCGGTGACTGGATGACAAGGAAGGCATTCTTCTTCTTCTTCTGCACGCCCATTTTCTTCACCGTCGTCTGTTTCAGTCGTCCTGCCAGCGGCGAGAGGTTCGACGAGATCTTCCAGCCCAGCTGGGCCGCCGACCACCTCCTCTACGACGGCGAGGTCGTCCAGCTCAAGCTCGACAACTTCACCGGTAACCCCCCTCGCCACAGCCGGTGGCGGTTCTTCCCTCCGTTCCTCCACGAATAAGCTCTGACGATCATGTCTGCGATGTCGCAGGCACCGGGTTCGGCTCCAAGAGCAAGTACCTCTTCGGGAAGGCCACCGCGGAGATCAAGCTCGCCCCCGGCGACTCCGCCGGCACCGTCACCGCCTTCTACGTACGCTACTGGAGCTCTGGAATGGATAGTTTCATACATGGTGATGATCTGTATCTGAATGGATGATGATGCTGCAGATGTCCTCCGACGGGCCGAACCACCACGAGTTCGACTTCGAGTTCCTGGGGAACTCATCGGGCGAGCCGATCCTGGTGCAGACCAACGTCTACGTCAACGGCGTCGGCAACCGGGAGCAGAGGGTGGGGCTCTGGTTCGACCCCACCGCCGACTTCCACAGCTATGGCATCCTCTGGAACCGCCAGCAGGTGGTGTTCCTCGTGGACGAGACTCCCATAAGGGTTTTCGAGAGGAAGAAGAAGACGAAGAGCTGGGAGAGGGAGCTCGCCTTCCCCGACGACCAGCCGATGGGGATCTACAGCTCCATCTGGAACGCCGACGATTGGGCGACTCAAGGGGGGAGGGTGAAGATCGACTGGTCGCATGCCCCCTTCGTCACCACCTACAGGGGATTCTGGGTCGACGCCTGCGAGTGCCCCGCCGGCACCGGCGCCGGCGCCGGAGAAGAAGACATGAAGAGGTGCGCCGGCCAGGGGAACGAGCAGGGGAGGCGGTACTGGTGGCAGGAGCCCATGATGGAGGAGCTGAGCCTCCACCAGAGCCACCAGCTGCTGTGGGTCCGCAACCACCACCTCGTCTACGACTACTGCGCCGACTCCGCCCGCTTCCCCGCCGCCCCTCCCGAGTGCGAGCCATGATTGAAGATGACCCCCCACCCGCTTGCTTCGTCTTTCTTTCCTTCCTTGCCCGCCATGGCAGCAGCTGCTTGCTGCCCTCTGCCCTTGTTTCCTTCCTCTTTTTGTAAAGAACAATGCCTCCTCCACCGAAGGAGCTTATGCTGTAAGAAACAGGAATCGACGGAGACGAAGAAAGCTAGCCCAGTCCTCAATCCTTGGGTGAATCGATCCTCGCCGGAATGGGCAATAATGATGATACTATGGTGATGCTGATGAACAGAGTCGAATCATTACAGCGTGGGGAGAACAGTGCTGCTGCTGCTACAAGCTGAATGGCATCATAAGCTGTGACACATGGCTTCTTACGATCCTCGCCGGAATGGGTGACGAAGAAGATGATGAACGGCGTCGGCCCTGTAAATGAGTCGAATCATTGCAGCGTGAGGGGATGGGTTTTCTGTCTGAACAAGCAAGACTGTGCTGCTCATCATCTGGGTGCTGCTGCTGCTGCTACAAGCGCTGAGTCGCATCAAATGCTAGCTACGTTTATGAAATGCTAGCTGGGTTCGGTCCTATTTCGAAAAACGGACAAGGATGACAGCGTGAGGGACACCCCTATAAATGTGGGGTGAGCCAAGGAAGCAGTGGTCACATCCGAACAATCAAATGAAGAGGATGGCAGTCTAAAGCGTTTGCGGGATGACGATTTTCAACAAATTCCTTGAGACGTTGAACAACGGACAGGGGTGTCCAAATGCTTTCAACTTTGTCTAAACCGCGCACGTTACAAAGTTCTAAAGTTGGAAATGAGCAGCAACTCGACGAGTACTGTGTGCTAGCTAGGTAGGGTTTGAGAAACCTAGGCCAACTTTCATGGAGACCCATGACTGAGATCATAGCCCTAGTCTATCCTAACATTCCTCCTCTCTTCTCTGCTAGGGGCAAGCTACAGTAGAATGAAAATTTACAAGAAAATAAAAGCAAAAAGTGAGTTAAGTGTACTCATTGTTGGAGATAAATTTATAAGGCAAGAAATTGCCAAATTGGTTCATTTGCCAAATTCAATGTTAGACTTCAAGTCATTGTGGCTAGAAAGGAAACCATCCATCCTATCTATAGAGCTAGCTGGTCACTTGCCCCTTATCCTTTAATATTCATATTTCACCAATTTCAATCAATTACTTTATTCTGATTGGTTCAATCTCCTTGACTTGAGAAAGCAGCATATGGCTAGAAGTCGGTGGCTGGTTCCCCCCATTAGGACCAAATTTCGAATTGAAGAGTGATTTAACAATTGTGCATTTGGGTTAGATTTGTACCAGTTGAAAAGTTGTAGCTTGTTAAGGGCATCAACAAGCATAGACCAAAATCATGAAAGCATATATATGTATATAGATTCTTGTTACATATGTCATTATGAAAGGTACATAAGGTGAGAGCTACTCATAAATTTCACAAACTTTGAAGTCTTTAAATGGTGAAGTTTATTGATTTGAATTTCATCATTTCGCAAAAACAAAGGACTACTTGTTTATCAAATCTTGAACTTGTACACAAGTGATCCAAAATTCAAGGAAGATGTGAGCTGAAATGACCCCAATTTGTAACAAGGAGCCCAACAAAATTGGATTTAACATTAGTATGAAATAGAAAATCAGATAAGGATAAATCAGAGCTGTATAGAAACCCTAGGCTGTCCAAAAACTTTTGAAAGGCTTCATCTCTCCAAGTCACTTGTCAAATTCCTCCTCACCTACCTGACCCTTTTATACGGCCCTAATAATACTAAGACAGACCTGCCAATGACTCATTTATCCCCCATACAATGTATATCCTTGTGGGCATAACTATTTATTCTTTCTTCTAAATTAGGTGATAGCCAAGGTTATATCAATACCCCCCTTCATTGAGCAGACTTGTCCTCAAGGTGAAACTAGAAAACTTATGCTTGAATGGTTGAGGTCAGTTCCCACGAGGCTTCTAAGATAAGTAGTTGGTCCCACTAGAGTGTACATCAAGTATCATCTCAGGCAAACATTCCAATGGATGTCATTATCCAATCCTACATGTAGGATTTGATTTTGATCCTTTAGTCTTATCACCCTACACAATTAGAAAATATGAAAAACTAGGATAATTGAGGATGTAAGTGGCAAGTTGAGGCAATATGGCATTGGTCTAATATGTTCGATGATTTGGAAAGGGGGAAAAAATTTAGAAGCCAATTTTTCAATGTATTTCTTTACCATTGATTTCATTCTACATGGTCATTAATAAAATAAAACTTAGTCACGTAATGAAAATTAAGTATTCTAATGGTGGCACTATGCCTTAACCCTCATTTGAGTTTGAACATGGAGGAGATTGTGCTTGAGTAGATGTAAGACTTGATTTCGGGCTTGTAGTTTGTTGTCTACTGTTACTAATAAAGATGGGGGCAAATCATAATGAATGAGAGTCAAAAGGACTCAGGCATATAGTGCTTTGAATGAGAGTCTAGTTGGTCAAGTGGAACTATGATAAAATATGTTGTATGAGTACTCAGCTAGTGTAATTATTTGCTCCAAGGGGTTTAGGTGACTAGAAGGAAAATACCTAAAGAAGTTTTTCAATCTATTATTTATGATTTGTATTATGTTCTTCAAATGTGGGTTTTTAAAGCTAGATTATATGATTTAATTAGTTTTATTATTTGATTTGATTTTGTTAACTTGTGGAATAAATATAGGATTTTTTATTATTTAATTATTTTGTTAAAGCTAAAATACTTAGTGTATTTTTTTATTATTAAAATATAAAAAAATCTTCTGCCTGCTAGCAAGCCAACACTCGGCAACTGACTCGAAGGGGGAATAGTAGTCAAGCGAGTAGTCTTAGATTGGGGGAGCCATGAGCTGGGCTTAAGTAGCGAAGGCCTTGCTCTGCACACGTGTGCATCACTCCCCTTCCATGTCCCAGTGGCCAATCAGTCGTGGGGCAAGGAGCATCCGTACACAAGTGCATATATGAGGATAGACCACCTTATTGCCTTCTCTCAAGATGATCTTAGCATTATTTTATTTTAGAAGAAGGGATCTCTACTAAGAGAGAAAAACTTTGATTTATATTCAGCTTAAACTATGACAAACTTCCGATGTGGGACTAATCATTTTCGTCTGTTTCAGTGCAGCCATCTAGAGCACAGTGTAATCCAATGATATTCAACGAGCCACATCATCAAATTAGCTTGACCTTGCAGTTGACAAACCACTACAATACGAGATGCATAAAGTGATCCATCGGCGGTTCACGAATCCAACACTGCTCAACACACACGTGACCTTAAAGGAGGATCCAATGACAAAGGAGGCACCACGATATTAAGTTCTTGATCGGCAATGGTTCGTGACAGGTTGATCCTACATCACTCTGTGCGCCACGTAACCAAGCTCATTTGATCCAATGGCTCACGAAGCATTACGATATCGGAACTTGAGTTCTCTCACATATCACTATTAGGGATATAAAGATAATAATGAATTATTATCTAATAAAATAGATATTATCGATTATCTTTAAAATCTCAATAGTAGTTGCAAATATGACAATCCGTTCTTCCCTCTTTTTGTGCGATCGACAGAGACGTCGATCAGCAAGCTTCTTCCTTCCTCCCCTGACTACACTCAAGGCCTCTAACGAGTGATCAACTCTTCCCTTCTCCCCCAAGATGATGGTGACAATGTGGTCAACCCCTCTTTTGGCAGATCTCTCTAGCAAGTAGCATAGCGCTTCTGTACAATACTTTTGTGACTTTCAATGTGGTGTGACATGACCGGATGAAATCAAGCCACCACATCAATGTCTTCAATTGCCTAGGAGGCAGAATAAACTTGGGCAATGATTTATTTCTTGTTTTCAGCATTTACTTACTTTTTTCATTTATTTATATGTTACGGCAAGTTCTTTCCATTTCATGCACGTTTTAATTGAAATGAGTAAAACTAATTCAAAACTTGATGATTGATCTTCATTTTCCTTCTAAATCTTCTGAAACTCGTTTGAAATCAAGCTAAGATCATTTTCAACTTGGTTTCTATTGATTTTTGTAGTTGAATCTCGACATATTCACATTCTCGGCATTATACGAATAACGAGTATTTTTTTATTTTCGAATGTAAAATCATCGAGATTAAAGGTTGATTAATGAGCATTCAATGATTAAAACAAGTTGGAGACATTCATGACTAACCTCATGCCATGTGTGTGAATCCTTGAACACACATTCATTTGAGAAAATTGGTTGACTGTATTTTTCTTTTTCTTCATTTTCATCTTATCTCTTTCTCTTCCTTTCATGAGAGATCTCATCCCTTCTCTCTCTCATGAGAGCTCTCTCTTCCTCTCTTTTTCTCTCCCTTTCATGAGAGATCCCATCCCTTCTCTCTCTCGTGAGAGCTCTCTCTTCTATCTTTTCCTCCTTTTTCTCTATTTTCCTTCCTTTATTCTTCTCGTCTTACCTTTCTATTTTATTACTTCTATTAAATATTAATAAAATATTAAAAATCACTATATATATAAATTAAATTATTTTTTCACGATGGATTAATTAATCTTTCTATCTTCGATCTGAGATTTACTTCTATACTAATATTTTATTAAGTCTTAGTTATAAATATTATTAGATAGTGTGTATTTAAACACAACGACAAGTGCACACCATGGGTGATGAGTCATACTTTTTCTAAAGTTTGATGTCTTGACACTTAAATAATTCAAACCAAAATGAACTAATGAATAAAGGGACATGGTCAGAAATAATGAATTCGAATATGTCATGTAGATATACTATGTCTCAAGTAAATTTATCAAGCACTTTAGAAGCAATAAATAGGTGTTTAAGAGGTATAAAATGATAGTACTTAGTCCACCATTAGTAGAATGGAATTATAGCTAGCAGATTAGGGTAATAATGTAATAAAAACTATCAAGACATCATCCCACATCTATTTAGATATTTGGAGAAGTTGGAATAACCATGTTGG